AATTGTTATATATGAAAAACAAATTATATAGTATAGTATGTTTTTTATTTATCGAAACAAAAATAAGCATCGATCGAAGATCTAATATTAAATTTTATTTTAGTCTTATAAAAACTTTCATTTTAAGTTTTTATTGATAATTGTGTATATTTGATATGAATCTTGATTGTTTTACGTGTTCTTGAGGACATAAGTGATGAGCACTATGGTGGTCAATCAATTCCTGTTTTGACTGTAGACTTCTAGATGTAAATAAATTAATCAAAAATCAGCCAAAATCTTAATTAATTCATAAAAAAACAATACAGAAATCTAAATTTTGAAGAACGATAGCAGTTTAGGAAACTTTTGCTAATACAGGTTAGCAAGTTAAAAGTTGCCAAATATAAAAGAGCAAGTCTTTTCGTACATATTTTATTAAAAGAAAAATTTCAGTAAAGACACTGATTTTCAATCAGAGAAGATATATAATAAAAAAAACCTGTAAGCAAACAAATTACAGGAGGAACTACCAAAAGCTTTATCCATATCTGGTTATAATGAGAGAGAAATTTTTTTATATTGGACAATATTTTCAGCATAACTTTATATTTATTTATTTCTTTATTAATTTATATTTATTTATTTATTTCTTTTATATTTATTTCTTATTTATTTTTCAGGAAAATTGTGCAACCCGCAAAGTGTATGTATGATTATATGCTGAAATTTCGAATTCTTATTATGAACTTTAAGTTGTCAACATTTCATTACTGTGCGTTAATGCATACAAAAGCATATCGGGTATACTTTCCATAATAACATTGCAGAACTGTTGTGCACTTTGACATCAGCTTTAAAGGTTCACAGCCTTTCTTTTTGTTTACACTTTCCAATTTGACTGTCTACATGTCATTTTTGTTAATATTAATTTTCATATGCACATTCGTGAAATATATAATAACAATGGCTTTAAATGCAACATACAAGCCTGCAATCTGTATTACGCGATAACTTTATTCATATTCTTACTAAAAGACGGATGCAGTTTACTCGCACGTAAACAGATGCATGCATGCATCCACAGATCTTCATGTGGCACTGCACCAAAATGTGTTGAAAGACAGCTGGAAAAACTCAATACAATATTTATTGAACAAAAGAGAGTTGACTTATGTCGAACTTCATTTTAACACACTTCAAGTGTACTTCAATCCTTTTAGTGCAGCAGAAGAACACAATTTAAGTGAGTGTGGCAAGTTGATAATTTCACATACCGACATTTTGGATAAGTGAAATTGGATTATATTATGTAATTTAAAGGAAGAACAAATAAATGCATTTTGTGAATGGGCTTGAGCAACTTAAGTCGAGCAAATGCATATACTTCGACGTTACTGAGAGTATTTGAAGGCAATAAGTCAAGTGAATGAATTTGTAATTGCAGTCATTAAACTTTGAAAAGTGTTGGGTTAACGATTTGTAATATATATAATTGGCAGAAACTGTTTGAAGTGAACTAACTTCGAATTCACAACTTAACAAAACCTTTATATGTATAATAAATTGAATGTAATTACAAACTTACTGTTAACTACTTATATACTTATCATACCTATAGCTAGAACATCACAATAATATTTGGCTACAATTGACCTTTTTACTTGACTCTAACATACTTGAGTAAAGCAAGTTACTTGCACAGTTGCTTAGCTTAAAATTACCTTAAATATTGATATAAATGTCATGTGACTTATTATATGGATTTAAATGTATAAAATAATGTAACGAAAGGTGTGATAACAATCCAGTATTTAACTATATAGTATTTAGTTCGTTTTGAAGGTATTAACTTATACTAACCAGTGTTTGTAAGTATCTCTTTAATAAATTAATATTAATGTACATAACCCTAGCGAAGCTAATAATTGTGCTAAATAGATTTTTCTTTTGAATTTAATTAAGTACAAACAGTTTATAGAAAGTATATTTGTATTAAAAGACGAAAGATGCATTCGACAAATGAAGAGGAACCTTACCCTTACCTTACTTTACTACAACTCTGTCACCCTATTTAGGCCTGTCTCCCTATAAGGAAATAAATTCATAAACTCCCTTATGAATACTTATTGAAATAATTAAAATAATATACATACTTACTTATATTTATGAAAAGTGAATAATTTTATATATAAATATGTGATCAATTATTTCATATATATTTTTAAAAACAATTAAAATGTATTATTTTGTATATATTAAATGTAGAAAATAAAGTTCCAAATAAAACATATGCTTTCTTAAATAACTTGATAAAATATAATAATTTATTTGGATTATAAGAAAATAATATTTTTAAAACAATATTTGTTACTTATACTTAAAACTTGTGCTGTGATATGAGACGTCAAGAAAAAGTCTATTTTAAGAATACCTTCTTAATACTTTTTATAAAAATTTGTAATCAATTGACTTTTTTTTATTTTAATATTAACAATATGTAATTATGTAAATTAATAGTTTAAAAATTTGAAACTTTTAATTATACAAAGAGCATTTTTGCTCTAAAGATGCGCTCGTGACGTATGAGTAACTTTTTTAATACATAAAAACTGTTTCAATCACTAAAACAATTAATTAATTGCTTTTTTATGCATTTCACAATCTTAATTAATTTCTTCTTGAAATAAAAACTAAATATTATTGCAAGTACTTTTAATTCAGCTTATTTTTCATATAATTAATTTCAGTTAATAAAAATGAAGAACCATTTTAAAAGAGGAACTCATTAATTATTTAACATTGCAGCAGTATTGCGAGCTTTTTTTATTTAAAATGCATGAGCTTTGAATGAATGCAAATAAATTCTTTTTAAATTGCTTTTGATTGTTTTATGTTTATATTGAATTAATTTTTAATGAATTGAGCACGAAATTGATTTACTTTCTTTTACTTTAATTGTATCCATAATAATTAATTCCATTTTATAATGAATTTCTGATGGTAATGAATGCATGAAAAATAATATGCAATATATAGGTCATTAAAATCAAGTTATTAGTTCATCGGTGTAAAGCCTATTTGACCATTACATCTTTATATAATTCTCTAAAATTGATTTCGTTTCCAATGCAATTTTTTTGAAACAAGAACAAAAAAAAACACCATTTATTTGAATGATGTTATAAAAATTAGAACTCACATATACAGACTTATTACGACTTGTGTACTTATTCAAACAGAGCAAACTTGAGTATATATCCGGAACAATTTTTGTGGAATATAATTTCAAATGAATTACTATAAGATGCCTCTTATCCCTAAAGCATGTATTAGTAATTTAGTGTTATATGGAAACGTTTTTATTTGATTAATAATAGTTCTAGTAATTTCCCATATCTCTAATACTGAATATATCGGTAAACTTCAATAAGATATATACCACATAATGCTTTCCGAGAAGTGAATCTACTCAAATCATTGGGGTTTAACTTAAGTGACATATATTTAACTTTTAACTGACACACTTGTACCTATTAACAAACCTTAAGTCCACCTCAGGACGCACAGGAAGATATGCTGATCTACGGTCCGTCAACAGTTAAAAGATAAGTAAATGATAATAATTGTAGTATAGTTAAAGCTTAGTGTGGGGCAGGGATAAGCCCCCCAGTCATTAAAACCAAACCACAACAACAACTTGTGCCTAATATGGAACAGTTAAAAGTTACTTAAATGTACATTAATCGGGTTTTATATCACTGTTCAAAAAGATAAAAAATTTATGCATAAATTGAGAGATAGTTATAACAATATTTTCTTATGTACAATTTTAATAAAGATTATATGAAATTATTATATAGGATCCGAAAAATTGTTCAATCTATGGAAATACCATCGCTTGAGCGATTTCTCTTTATAGTTTTGATTAAGGTATAATTTTGAAATATTTCTCCAATTTTCTATTGTATTGGCACTAAACTAAAAGTTTCTTTCGGCAGTGAGCTTTTCATTGAGCTTTTTACCAAAAAACTTTGCATAACTATAATTTTGTGTCACGAAAGTGTAACGTGTAAACACAATTGACAGAGAATATGTAATAGATCGCTTTCAAGCTCGCCTGGTAAAATATACACACAACTAATAAACTACTAATAGAAGTGTTATTTAAATTTTGAGATCTGATATAAAAAACGCATGTTATAGAATCAAGCAAGTCTGCTACTATATACTTTCAAGTCACTTTTTCTATCGCTGTGCTGTATAGAAGTACGTAATCACATTATATTCATTTGAGATTGTAATTATGATACCAATTCTATTGTAATGTCATTGCCACTCGAGTATACGTAGGTTATATATATTTTTATCCAAGCGTCATACAGCATTTCTGATTCGAGAATTTTTGAACAAGAAGGTGAATATATATTTTTTTCAGTGTAAAAGCTTCTTTTGTTTCAAAAATAGTTTCCCAAATTTTAGAAAAAGTTTTCAGTCAGAAAAATTCGATCGCAGCAACTAAACACAATTTTAATCGATGGTACATTAATAAATCGTTATATATATTTTGCAAAATAGTTTTAAAAACTACTGGCAATATATTTTTATTAAGAAGTAATTAATTCAACTTTATTTGTTACAAAATAATTAATATTTGATACGCACAACAGAGACTATGAAAAATTGGAAAAAACACCAGAAAACAACGCAATTTAGAGAAAAAGATTTTAATAAAATTTTTATTTATGTTCCGCATTAAAGTGAAAAATGTGTGAATAATAAAAATATCATTAATAAAACAAAAATTTAAATCGAATCTAACGTTTCGTAATGTGAAATTTTTGAGCGAATAAATATAAAAAAAACTTAGGAGAAAGCTTTCTCCGAGCAAAACAAAGACAAGATATATAAACATCAACAAAACATTTTTTGAAAAAATAATTTCTTTCTTTTTTTTTTAATATAAAAAGAAACCGGCAGATTTGTATGTAAACAAATGCAAAAATAAAATTACTAAAAAAAATATATTCTTTAAATATTTCATTTAAATTTCATATAATAAAATTGCAAGTAATAATGTCGAAAAAGTGTGACGTGCGTGCACTTAGCGATGGTGCACTAGCCGAGTTGGCCAACTTGATTGTATCTACTTTGGGTTATGCCAAATATGCACCGGATGTGCATCTTGACATTGAAGTTGTCATGGTGGAAATAAACCAATACCTAGAAATATGTGGGGCTACATCAAATATATATCAGGATCTGCTACGCGTGATACTTTGCTCAGATTATTTGGATGCAAATATGCGTTTTACTTGCCTGCAGATGTTACTCAATTGCAGTGTAACTTTTCTCGTGACAGATGTCTTCCCCTTTTCCTACTACCAGAAAATATTACAGGTAATAGCAGCACAAGGATCTGGCTTACGTGTACTTAATCTTAAAGGTGTTTGGGTTAAAGAAGAGCATATGCATTACATGTTCGAAATAATTAAAAAATGTCAGTACCTAACAAAATTATTTGTACCATACATAGCAAACGATGACTTGCTTGAAGTGATCGCTAAGCATAGCAAAAACTTACGTATACTGGATATTTCCGGAGAAACGGATGTTACCGAAAACGGTATTTATTCACTCAGTAACGGTGTTTGTTGTCAGAATCTTGCTGTAATAGACGTTGGCATGCCCGGCGAGGAAAATATTTGCTACTCTGATATAGCACTAATTCTGGAAAATTGTCCAAATGTGGAAACTCTCGCCACGTACTCATTTGTGGGACCAGCTTTAAAATTCGTCCATGACAATGTTGATGAAAACTTCAAGTGTAAGTTAAAATATATGCATGACACATCCACCGATGAAGATCATTTAAATGTCATTGTAAAGACTTGTCCGGATTTAGAGTCAATTTATCTCGACACACCGAAGCCTGGTTGCCTGCATATAATAAATAAAGTGATTCTAAGAAAATTAAAGATATATAAATTCTCTTGTGCTGAATTAATGAGCGTTTTAGAGGAGCTCGGACAAAATTTAAGCCACCTAACTATGATTAAAGGTACTGGCGGTATTGAAATTGGTAAACTAGCGCGATTATGCCCTAACCTCATTGATTTGGACTGCTATATGATGGATGGCTTGACTTATTTAAATCATCATATTAAGTTTCAATGTTTAGAGGGTCTTGAAATGTTACAAAGTTTTATTCCCAATATTTCATTAAAGTCTCTGATCTCTAATTGTACTTTGCTTAAACGACTGGCTGTTGATAGTGTAACATTTTGTGACGAAGATATTGTCAGGTTTGATTTAATAAATTACAATAAATTTTAACAAATTTTTAATATATATTTTTATGTGAATTTATAGCATTTTTATAGAACACAATTTTGATTTTTTGGAAGATGTATGGTTTACATTAGCACCCAACTTAACCGTGCAGTCAATAGAAGTAAGTACTTTCCAAGTTAATTTTCAGATTATTATGCTTAAACAATATATTTTTAAATATTTAAATAACTTTTAAAAATTCATTATGATTTTTTTCTTTATTTAGATTTTAATGGATCGTTGTCCAGAATTACAAACTATTGGTCAATTAAGTGGTTGGTCGCTAACACCTGATGACTTGGCGCTTATACGTGCTTTACTGAAAAGTGGAAACTCTAGCCTTGTACTTGCTCCAAACGGTTTTTTTCCATAATTTATTACTAATCCACTAATCAAATTAGGGTACAAGGTTGGTTCGAAAACATTTATAGCTCATGAATGTATTTAATTTGATGAATTTATAATTTGTACTGATTTATTTATTTTAAGTAGCAGTTTTTAGTCGTAGCTTTGGAAACTTTATCTTACTTCAGTAGTTTCTCTACGATGCCATTAGTTATACTAAATACTTATTATTAATTATTACTTTTTTATTTATTTTATGTACATATACTTATATTAAATGTAGAACCAATTTTGTGCTTTGATGTATTATAATTGTACGTACATTTTGCTAAATTGTAAATACTATATTTTATATTAATACTGATACACTAATATAATTACAATATATTTGTATATACATATACATATATACATGTATTTTTTAATAGCTTTATAAATTTTTTTATTCTGTATTTTAGCGGCTGCAATGATACCGTAGAAAGTGATGTCAATAACCTCTGATGCTTCTTCCCCTTAGTTTGATTGAAGACGTTTTGATATATAAAATGTGATATATATGAGACATGAAATTGTTAAGAATGTGAAATCATGGTATTTTAACAAACAATGTTGTAAAAAAATTTTTGTTCACAATAAAACTACACGTGAATTTAAAAACAACTATTAGTTATAGAAGTTTTGTTTAAAAAATATAATAAATTCAAAAGCTTATTAATTTATTTTTAATCTTTGTGATCTATGTAAATAAATGTTATATATCAGTACTATGCACCAAATATAATTGCCATAATAAAATTATTAAAAATATGTTATGTTAAAAATTGTTAAAATAATTATTATAATAATTACTAATTATAGCTCATGTCTACCATTTAAAACAAACTTGTTCAGTTACAAAATCTGCTCAAGAAATTTTTATTATTTATCCTTGATTGCTTGTTCCTCTAGCTTGAAAAAGAATTATTAAAAATTGTATGCATTCAGTAAACAGAATATTAAAGTCTTAGAATATTTTCTCTGATAAAGTCATAAATAAAGATAATATAATTTGTCACTCTTACATAGAACATAGGACATAAACAAGTTTTCTCGCCAGAGAGTATTTTGTTCATTCTCATATAATTTTACTCCTGTCTTGTCTTCCAGAACTCTGGTTATTCGATTGCAGTGCATACTAATTAATCGCCACTTTCTCACTCACTTGGCTTACAGTCTTTGATTGTTAGTAGTTACTCACTGTTTATCGTATTCGGTCAAGATATTTAGGATATTTAAGATACTTATTTATATATTAAATCAAAATATATTGTTTCACCTTTGAAATAGGTCCCATAATGGCCACTACAAGAACGTAGGCAGAGATATTGCACTTTTCTTTTAATAGTCTTTAAAGAAATTCTAAAAACTTAGACAACACTGATTGCTAATCTTGAAAAATTAACCATCTTCAAAACTCCATAAATTCAATGGTATGGCAATAATATATTCCACCATTACTCAATAATGAAGAATTACTAATTGTGTATAGCGAAAGCTTATCTGCTAACCAACCAACTCGGCACTATTAAGTACAGTACAACATCATATAGCACCATATGTCCCACTTCATACATCTTTTATAAGCTGATTAAGGCATGGTCTGCTACTCCTTTTAGTTTTCTTAAGTACTCGATTCCAATTCGAAACGCCTAATTTTTGCTTCAAGAACAGAAAAAACTTTCAAAAGATCTGTCTGACAAAAATCATGCTTAACCGATCACATTTCTGAAACTCTTTTGCCAAAAACTTTTGCAATATTAACATTTTTATGCTGATTTGTTAATTATAAAATGCGGATCCATTTACACAAAATAATTATATAGATGTATATTTATAGGATTAATTAAATACGAAAGCTTTTTTTTAAATTATAAATCGCGTATACTTTATGCACTGAATGTATGTTTAATTAGTATACATTATATTATATGTGAACAATTGAAGTTACACATGAATAAATTATTCATGATGTTTCATTACATTAACACAAATGATGTGTCATAAATTTAAACAGAAATTTAATTTTTACCTAATTACGTTCGAGTATATAAAAGGTTGTAGTAAAACTTACCTACATAGTTT